ATAAATTATCATTTCCAAAAATTAATAGAAAGCCCAACAACAGTAAGACAGAAGAAAGAAAGGGACATACCAGGCCCCCGGGACAACCTCGAGGGGAAGAGCTGCCTTGCAGGTTCCTTTCTCGTCCTGGCGGCTCCCAACAGTGATGATCTCTTTTTAGCTATAATATCAAAGATGCAATCCATTAAAGAAATAATACAGTATACTAATGCATATATATGGAATTTAGAAAGATGGTAACGATAACCCTATATGCAAAACAGAAAAGGAGACAGATGTACAGAACAGAATTTTGGACTCTGTGGGAGAAGGCAAGGGTGGGATGTTTCGAGAGAACAGCACCAAAACATGTATATTATCTAGGGTGAAACAGATCACCAATCCAGGCTGGATGCATGAGACAAGTGCTCAGGCCTGGTGCACTGGGAAGACCCAGAGGAATTGGGTGGAGGGGGAGGTGGGAGGGGGGATCGGGATGGGGAATACTTGTGAATCCATGGCTGATTCATGTCAATGTATGACAAAAACCACTACAATATTGTAAAGTAATTAGCCTCCAACTAATAAAAATAAATGGAAAAAAAAAGAAATAATAAGTTGGACTTCATGAAAATTAAAAAAACTTTTACTCTAGAAAAAAACAGTATTAAGAGAATTAGAAGCAAACCAGACTGGGAGAAAATATCTGCAAAAGACACATCCAATAAATAACGGCTACCCAAAATATATATACAAAGGGCTCTTAAAACTCAATCTTAATAGATACATCATCAAAAAAGATATACAGATGGCAAATAAGCACATGAAAAAAAATGCTCTGTACCATATACCATCAGGGAAATGCAATTAGAGTAATGAAAAATCATGAGGTACGGCTGCATACCTATTAAGATCAGAATCTGGAACAATGACAAAACCAAATGCTTAAAGGATATGAGGCAGCAAGCAACTCTTATATATTAGGAAAGACAAAATGATACCAACCCTTTGGAAAGAATTTGGTGGTTTCTTATACAACTAAATATACTGGCGCCATATGATTTAGCAACTGCACTCCTTGGTATTTGTCCAAAGATGTTGGAAAAGTCTATACAAATAAAAACCTGCACAAGTATGTTTTTAGCAACTTTATTCATTATTACCAAAATTTGGAAGCAGTCAAGACATGTTTCAGTGGATGAATGTATAAACTGTGGAACAGTCAGACAAAAATTATTATTCAGATGTATTTAAAAATGAGCTATCAATCCATGAAAAGATATGGAGGAAACTTAAATGCATATTCAGTTCAGTTGCTCAATCGTGTCTGACTCTTTGTGACCCCATGAACAGCAGCATGCCAGGCTTCCCTGTCCATCACCAACTCCTGGAGTTCACCCAGACTCATGTCAATCGAGTTGGTGATGCCATCCAACCATCTCATCCTCTGTTGCCCCCTTCTCCTCCTGCCCTCAATCTTTCCCAGCATCAGGGTCTTTTCCAATGAGTCAACTCTTCGCATGAGGTGGCCAAAGTACTGGAGTTTCAGCTTCAGCATCAGTCCTTCCAATGAATACCCAGGATTGATCTCCTTTAGGATGGACTGGTTGGATCTCCTTCCAGTCCAGGGGACTCTCAAGAGTCTTTTCCAACACCACAGTTCAAAAGCATTAATTCTTCTGCAGTCAGCTTTGAGATATCAAAAGCATCCATTTTTTCGGCACTCAGCTTTCATCACAGTCCAACTCTCACATCAAATGGTGGCCAGATCACACTCTGGGTTAGAATAATCCCTCTGGTTATAAGATAAAGAATGAGTCAGAATGAATTTAAAGAGGAAGAATGCATAAGTCTCAAAGCATGTAGATGTGTTTCTATGTAATTCTTAAAGTTTGTTCCTACATGATGTCTGAATGATTAATCCTATCAGTAGTGATTTCCCCTGATGTGTTAGAAACTGATTCATTCCATTCCTTGACTTTCTGCTAGTTCCAGTAGGAAAGTGACAATGGACTTATCATCACATAGACATTCCAGAATAATTGCTGTTATTTTTACTTTTATTTCCATAGAGCAATGATGAAAAAAAAAAACTAGTTATTGGACTTCCCTTGTGGCCCAGTGGTTAACAATCTACCTGCCAAGACAGGGGACACAGGATTGATCCCTAGTCTGGGAGGATTCCATGCGCCTTGGGGCAACAAATCCTGTGCATCATAATTATTGAGTCCTGGTGCCCTAGAGCCCACTTTCTGCAACAAGAGAAGCCACTGCAGTGAGAAACCCACACACCACAATTAGAGAGTAGACCCATACTGCAACTAGAGAACAGCCTATCCAGTGAAACTAGTAATTGTATTTATTTTTCTTGTGAAGAAACTCTGCTTTGAGTGGCTATTTAATTTACAAAGCTCATAGCTAAAAGATGGAATGCATGGCTTGAAAATTAGTTTGTAAAAGAATACCAAGCCAGTTAGGGTCACAACTTGACTCAAACATCATTTGTAAGCTAATCACAAAGTAGCAGAAACCAAGAAAACAGAGCAGAATCTCATAGTCTTGAAGGCATTATATATTCACAGGTATGTTTAAACCATATTCAGTATTTGAGACATTGTACTAGTCTCTGAGAATATAGAAGTGAGCTAGATATAGTCTAGGAATCTTAGAAAACCTGAGGCAAAATGATTGTAAGACAAGAAAAAAATAAAACAAATACACAATCTCAAGTATGTATAAAAATATAATTATACAATATATAAAATTAGATACAAAACTGACTTTGTCAGAATTTCACATATTACAATAATTACAAAGTCTCGTGTTCTGCAGTCCCTACCATGCCAAGCTAAGTCATTACAGTCGTGTCCAACTCTTTGCAATCCCATCAGGCTCCTCTGTCCATGGGATTCTCCAGGCAAGAATAATGGAGTGTGTTGCCATTTTCTTCTCCAGTTCTGCAGCCCATGGGGTCACAAAAGGTCAGACATGGCTGGGTGACTGCACAAAAAGAGGAAACTGATAAGACAAACATCATATGATATCACCTATACATGGAATCTAAAAAACGGTACAAATGAACTGATATAAAAAACAGAAATAGAGTCAAAGATGTAGAAATCAAACTTATGGTTACCTGGTGGTAAAGGAGTGGAGAGGGATAAATATGGAGATTGAGATTGAGGTATACCCACAACTCTCTACAAAATGTAGAACATACTATATCTGTTAAGAACCTACTATATTGCACAGGGAATGTCACCCTAAATTGTGTGAATTTGTATAGGGAAAATAGTCTATAAAAGAATGCACACATGTACCTGCATAGCTAATTCACTCTGCTGTATACCTGAAATAGGCAGGAGGGGGGATCGGGATGGGGAACACATGTAAATCCATGGCTGATTCATGTCAATGTATGGCAAAAACCACTACAATATTGTAAAGTAATTAGCCTCCAACTAATAAAAATAAATGAAAAAAAATTTTTTTTACAAAAGAAGAAATCAAGAAATATACAAGTGAGATGGAAGAAATGGAACTATTGGATTGGCCAAAACGTTCATTCAGGTTTTTCCATGTTTAACATGTTATGGAAAAACTGGAACACACTTTTTGGCCAACCCAATAACAGAGCAAGAATGCATTATAAATTGCTATTTCATCCTTTTTGGCACTCATGAGCACAGTGTAGCTAATGCTGTAAAAATTTTAAGCATTTTGTTTCTTAAAACTCAGTAATATGTAAACAGTTCTGAGATTTTGGTATCACAGCCTTCATTTGTAGAAGTATTTAACTATTTGTGATGTAAGTGGGATAAAAACAGGATATTTTAAATCTAATAAAGTTAAATAAAAAATTGGTATATATATATTTATTTAGCACACTGTAATTAAAAACATGAACAGTGATAATAAGTGTAAAAAGCACTTTTTCAATGTTTTTAATTCTACTGTTTTAAAATATAAAATCTAAAAGTAATGTTAGTCTTGGTAATTTTTAAAAAATTTATTTGGCTGCACCACATGTTAGTCATGGCACATGGGATCTTCAATTTTCCTTGCAGCATGTGGAATCTTTGTTTTCTTTTTTTTTGCCAACTTCTGTGATTTCTTCTTTTTTTTCTTTCTTTCTTTTCTCTGCTCTTTGTGGTAAAAAGTGTTTCGTTTTGTTTTTTCTTTCCATTGGAGTGTAAACCCACATGCGGCAACTAAAGATTCCATGTGCTGTATAGCTGATTCATTTTGTTGTACAGCATGCGGGAATCTTTAGTTGCCGCACATGGGACATTCTAGTTGTGGCATGTGGGATCTAGTTCCTTGACCAGGGATCAAACCCAGGCCCCTTGCATTGGAAGCATGGAGTCTTAGCCACTGGACCACCAGGGAGTCCTAAGTCTTAGTGCTTTTGAGAATTTCCCTATATATTTATAACCAATACTAAGAGGATTTTGAATGTGTTAGCCAGTTATAAATTTCTCATTATCATTTTGCATGGTTTCGTCTATCGTAGTTATTTTTATGGTCCCATGTGTGCACAGAACAGTGCTATCTGTCTAACAAAAGATGAATTCATTCATATTTTGTTGTTCGGTCACTGAGTCATGTCCAAATCTTTGCGACACCATGGACGGCAGCACGTCAGGCTTCTCTATCCATTCACAGTTACCAGGTTCAAATATAAGCATCAACTCACATTATTTAACCCCTGGAGGAGGACATGAAAACCTACTCTAGCATTCTTGCCTGGAGAATCTCATGGACAGAAGAGCCTGGTGGGGTACTGTCTATAGGGTCACAAAGAGTCAGATACGACTGAAGCGACTTAGCACATACATTATTTAACACTTAGAATTATGTTCTTCCAAATCCCTATATCATTCAAGAATAGCTTACTTCTTCACTGTTAACAAATACTATAAGTGAATTTTGATGATAAATTTTCAGCAGATCAGGCAATACAGCAGCAACTGTATATAGCAACTTACAATGCATCTCTTGGAAATGGTGTGTGAAATTCCCTAAAAAGGCCTTGAAGTACTTAAAGGTATGAAGACATTACTATTTGTCTTGCTGCAAATCCATTTTCTATTTGCGTATACCCTGGAACTACTAATCCTAATGTCATTCAGGTAGGCACATTCCCCAGTTCCTGTGATGATAAATCTGAAACCAAACACAAAAATATTAAAAAGCATAGGTTAGACATCTGCATTCCTTCCTCCTCATATTCTTCCACACCCCCACTCCAGGTATTTTTAATGTGAACCAGAAAAAAGTAAAAATCTGTCTTCATATGGCTTCTTAGTACATATACATCATTTCTGTATTTAGTTCCTTTTATATTCTCTAACTCCCTACCTGAATATCAGAAGATTATCACTGCCCATCCCAAATCCAGTTATGCTGTTTACTAGTTATTTAGTGCTTGCTGTTGTGGCCAAATGAACTGCTGCCATAGGTGGAGATAAAAGAAATTTTCATATATTGAAATATAGGGAAGTCATTCTGGCTTATACATGAGTTAACTTTAATTTTAGGCCATCTGTAAAACCCTGTTTGTGGCCTATCAAACATATATTGTACTTTTGCTTTAATGACTAAAGAAAAGGGCACATTGACCAGAAGTAAAAAAATGTCCATGTTAAAAATAAAGGTTACCCAGAGGGATTGGGTGGAGAGGGAGGTGGGAGGGGGGGCCGGGATGGGGAATACATGTAAATCCATGGCTAATTCATTTCAATGTATGACAAAAACCACTGCAATGCTGTAAAGTAATTGGCCTCCAACTAATAAAAATAAATGGAAAAAAAAAGAAAAAAGAAAAAAAAATAAAAATAAAGGTTAAATGTCTGTCTTCTGGGGACACTAGTGCTGGCCCTCCTTCAATGATAAGACTCCCTTCCCAGGTGCCAAGGCCGTACTGACCTGCTCTGTATGTGCTGGTCTGCTCTTTCTTTCATTTGAAATCTTGAAGGAATGTGACCCTGACTTGCTTAATGTTCTCTCTCCTGAAAAAATATAAAACTGGGCTAGAAACCCTGTTTCTCTGAAGCAGTTTCTCAGAGTGATCTGGGAGGTAGGCTTCCTTCCAGGCTAGTCCTCAGCTTGGCTGAAATAAAACTCTTTTCTATTCTTTTATTTTTGATCATTTATTGATTATTTTCATTGGCCTTAAATGAAGATGATTTTCAGTGTTCTCCTGACCTGTTTCGTACATGTGTGAAAATAAAAGCATGTACTTACTAGTAAATTCTTAAATGGACTTGGCTTTGATTGAGGGAAATGATTGCCCCTTTTTATTCTGTCTGCTCCAGTGTAATGGTTACAGTTAAGACCTCCCCACTGCAGTGTTCACAACCCAAGATGTGTTACTAAGTTTCTTCCAGAGATAAATTATCACAGAAGGGATTCCCTCTGGGTCCCTGACAACCTTCCTTTTAGGAATAAACACAGCAGCTGGCAGAGTGGACTGAGGGTCTATGGATACCCATTCTTCAGTGGCTTTCCAAGACTATAGGACCCCAGAGTACCTCAGCTGTTCTCTCTACATTCTAAATACGGATTTCAGCACAGTTTAAGTCAGTGAGTGAAAGCAGAACTATGTCTAATGTCATCATCATGCTAAAGATTTCAACTGAAAACATGCTATGTAAACTTTTCCCAAAGGCACTGCTAATAGAAGAGCATACAAAGGATTTCTATTTATTACATCATAGTGCAGGAAACCTTCCATGATATTACATTTACATTCCCATGAATACAACTCACACCCATAACTACATATTCATACAATAGAAGGCAGCCTAAAAACTTACGAGGCATTATATTTAGAGTTGTCTGTCCACTTCCAAGGATGATTTGATGATTCTCTGCTAAGGCCAATCCAATGGTCGGAAGAGTCTTTGTATCTTTTCAGAAAGTTCTATTATAAAACACAGAAAGCAAAAAGACATGTCTCCTTCATTTTACCCTTGAGTCCTCTCCCCCCCAGCCTTCTCTCTTTGGATGACAGCCTGATATAACTGAGAAGCTTAGACACTGAAGGGAGAAGTCTAGTCCCCAGTTCTCAGCTTAAGTCACTCAAACATCTCTGATCCTAAATTACATTAAATTGATCACACATCCCAATTTGACTGGGAAAGTCCCAGGTTATGCCTGTGGTTCCAACATAATATTGTCACTTCCAACATGCCAACATAATATTGTCACTTTCACTCCCCAAAATGTCCCAATTTGGATGATAAATTACATGATGACCAAACTTTGTTTTTACAAGGGGGAACAATATATCTAATTTGAAGGTTAACCATGAGGATTACATCAGAGAATGTGTCTAAATTGTCTCACACGGTTCCAGGCAGAGGACATACCCAAGAAATATCAGGCACTAATATGCACTCCAAGCCCCCAAGTCTGCCTGGAATGGGGTTCTTCCTCTTTTTTCACCTGTCACCCTGTGCAGCCTACATCCTTATCAGGGGCTAAGTATTTAACAAAGAACATGATCCAAAAATATTCCTTACCAGCTCCTCCTCCGTTTCAAACTGAACAAGAACAGCTCCCAGTGAAGTACAGAATGTCTGACTGAATGTCCAATTCTTTGAGTCTTCCGAAAAATAAAAACACTTATACCCAAATCCAATCCATCCTTTTGGGCAAGTGACATACAGAATATGTGGGTCTGGCTTTCTGCTTCTCACTAAAAGTTGGACAGAAACACTGAAGCATATCAAATAAATTTTCTTATCCCTTTTATCTATTTTTCCACTTACCATCCTGAGGTCAGTCTTTTTTTACATATGTATATACACATGTGTGTACATGTCTATGGAAGTACAGTATAACTCAATTCCAAAATGAGGGGTTGGAAAAAAAGCATGGCCAAAAAGCAACTACACTCTTGTACTTTTATGGCCTTGGCTAATAATCTTTTGCTTTTCTCAAAATGTGAACTGGGGCTACTTTCTACAGGTAGACAGATTCTTAGAAATGTTTCCCAAGCCCAAATTTGTCTGTTTTTCCAAATGAATAGTTTTCCTTTATATGTATTTTGGCACCATCCATTATATAATTTTCTCTCATCTTATTTTACTTCCAGGAACATATTCTCAAGTGCATTTCTAATGCCTCTTAGAATGTTATCAGCCTTAGTCATTTATAAAACACCAACTGTTACTCAATACTTGGAAATGTGATTGCACTTAACTGCTTGCCAAAACAACAAGTCTTTTGAGGTCGTTTTTCGTTTTTGGTTTCTGGGAAAATGGAATATTGAGATCTGTGATCACTTGCTGAGTACAAACTAGTGGCAGTTGCTTTTCCCAAGTGATTTTATTATATTGAGGATTTGCCTTAGAATAGAATGTTCTATGAAAACTATTATGTTAATAAATATACACACTACATGATTCTCAATGTAGCAGTCAAAATATTATTCTACAATGAAATTCAGATCATGGCATTCCTCTCCTACAATTTCTCTCTTCTTGCTATCCCCCAATGAACTCAGATTAAAAGCCAAAGTCTTTACCTGACTCATTAGGCTGTGACCTCCCTGACCCCCAGCCCATTATTCTTCCTCATTCTCACCTTGCTTCAAGTGTAGAAGCCTCCGTGCTGTTCCCCAAACCTGCCAGGAGCTTCCTCCTTTCATTCTACTTGTTCCTGCCATCTGGAATGCTTTCCCCACATACCCAATGGCTCCTTCATTTCCTTCAATAGTTTGCTGAACAGTCGTTTTCTCAAGGAGGCTTGCCCTGGACACTTACATTTATCTCAACCTGTTACCCTACACTATAACATCTGCATCTTCCTGCTATTAATAGAATAGGAGTGTTTTGTTCACTGATACACCTCAAGCATTTCACACACCCTGGCACATAATGGAGCTCAATAAATATTTATTTACAATGTGAATGTGCAAAGAACATCATATGGCTTGAAGAACAGGTAACTCACCTGCCACAAAAGTGAAAAGTAACACCACATTTAGAGCTATAAGCACAATGATAATCACGATGCAGCAGTAAAGGATGGCAGGTGTAACAGGAGATGTAATTGCTAGGCCTTTCTTTTGGAGATCTTTACCTGTAATTACAAATGTCATAATCTCAATCTCATGGAGGTATTAGGAAGAAAAACTCAAATTTATCACAAAATCAACATGTAAAGTCAGCTGTACCTCACCTCCCCTATTGCCAAACTCCCTCACAAAAGGTCCATGTCCAGGAGAGATGGCCACGGCCAAAAGCAACTAGAGGTAAGAGAAACTGAAGCTGTTTTCCCTGGAGAGTCTTCCAGTTATTGGAAGAAGAGCTAATAAGAGAGTAAGAAATGAAAAGAGCAGAAATCAGAAAGAAATAAAAACATACAAACAATTCAGATTTACCTCCATAAATAACAAATTTGGTTAGAAGTTCTGAGAGGACCATTAGAAAATTAATCACTATAATTCATCATATTAACAGAATAAGAGAAAAGAAATGTACAGAACAGAATTTTGGACTCTGTGGGAGAAGGCGAGGGTGGGATGTTTCGAGAGAACAGCATCGAAACATGTATATTATCTAGGGTGAAACAGATCACCAGCCCAGGCTGGATGCATGAGACAAGTGCTCGGGCCTGGTGCACTGGGAAGACCCAGAGGAATCGGGTAGAGAGGGAGGTGGGAGGGGGGATCGGGATGGGGAATACATGTAAATCCATGGCTGATTCATTTCAATGTATGACAAAAACCACTACAGTATTGTAATTAGCCTCCAACTAATAAAAATAAATGAAAAAAAAAAAAGAAAGAAAGAAATGGATATGACCATGTCAATAAGTATGACATAGAACGTGGAAAAACATAACAGTCATCCAAAATAACAAAGCCCAACAAATTATGAACTGAACTTTCACTTTTCATAGAAATAGTGCCGCTAATATGATACTTAATGGTGAAAAAGTGAAGGCCTTCCTCCAAAGACCAGGAACAAGGCAAGGATACCTGCTCTCACCAATCCAATTTACCATTTTACTAGAGGCTCTATGAGTGCCAATAAGGCAAGAAAAGTAAATAAAGCAAAAGTAAAAAAGGCAAAAAGATTAGAAAGAGGTGAAAGTGCTTCTAGAAGTCATATCCTCTCTCCTCCCAGTAGAAATATTAATTTGAAAATTATCTGCACATGAAAATACCTTCCCCAGAGCCAAGGATTCCAGACACACCCACCCCTGCCTCATCCCAGCTTCTTGCCCTCCAGCAATCCCAGCAGACAATGCAGGCTCAGACAGCTTCCACCCCAGCCTTCCTGTGGGCTCCTAGGAGCCAGGCTCCTGTCTCCCCGCTGCACCTGCCAATTCCAGCAGCTCCAGGTGGGGCTCCTGTGACACTTGGCTCCTGATGAACTCCTGGGGTCCAGGCCCCCCAAACCCTTCCTTCAGGACTGGGCAGTCCAGCACAGAGACCCATTCCCCATGGGAAAAGGGGAGTAAAACAGCACCTGCCTTCACTACACATCCCAGATCTGCCTTTCCCATCAGTCTGACTCCTGCAGCCCTGTATGACTCCCTGCAAACTCAGCAACCAAGGCCCCCCTCTTCCCGGTGCCTGCCAGCTCCAGTGAGCCAAGTGACTCCTGTGACACCAGCAGGTTCCTGGGAACTAAGGCCTCCTTTCACGCCAGTGACTGGTGGCTCTAGCAGCCCTAGGCAGCTCCTGTGACTTCCCTGCTGGCTGCCATGAATCAAGAAACCAACATAAGCAGTTGGGAAAAATAATTAAATACATTATATAATTATATATTAATTATATTATATATTTAATTATAAAAATAATAAAATACAGTGAGCTGCCACAATATGTACATCAGAGTGGCAAATAAAATAGCAAAACTAAGTGATAGGGAAAAAAAGATACAAATGGAATTCTCATGAACTGTTGGAAATACAACTGTATAGCCACTTTGGAAAACAGCTTGGCAGTTAGGTGTGGTGAACATATCCTTACCATATGCCCTAGCAATGCAAGAATCCCTTGGGGTCTATACAAGAGGAATGAAAACTTCCATTTACACAAAAATATAGACTTGAATATTTATGTTAACTTTATTCATTATTGGGCTTCCCTCGTGACTCAGCTGGTAAAGAATCCGCCTGTAAATGCGGAAGACCTGGATTCGATCCCTGGCTTGGGAAGACCCCCTGGAGAAAGGAAAGGCTACCCACTCCAGTATTCTGGCCTGCAGAATTTCATGGACTGTATAGACCATGGGGTCACAAAGAGTCTGACACGACTGAGTGGCTTTCACTTTACCTTTTTATTCATCATCACCAAAATTGGCAACAATTCAAATATCCTTCAGCTGATAGAAAGATAAACAAATACCACTTGGTACTAGGAGAAAAGCAAAACTTGACTTCATATTCACAATTGCTCATTTCTTATTTTTCTATAGCTTGTTAAATTTTAGTGAGGCTCGCTCTGCCCCCAAAACCCCCAAACTCTGGTTTGCCTGAAAACGTAAACAAGCTCTAAAAAGAGAAGTGAGATGCATCATAGCTCATGTGTGATCATGAGTTCGTGTCCCCGGCACACAAGTGGCAGCTGCTAACTTCAGGATATCACCTACTCTTTACACTTCATGCTCTCTTCCCCAACAAGGGTCCAACCCACTTCTTAATCTAGTTATAAAATAAGAACCTTTTTCAGAGCACTTTTCCTATTGCAGGAGTCCTTGTAAATAATATCCCTCCTTCTTAACACTATGCTATTGATAACACAGTACAATATGGATGAATTTCAAATGCACAACGCTTAGTGAAAAAAGTCAGACTCCACTGACATTCTTCTAAAGCAAGAGTATAAGAAAAGATAACAGATCAGTTTTTATCAAAGGATGGACAGAGAGGAAAGCAATGTTTACAAAGGTGTGGATGTGGGCGGAACTGTTCTTTATAATTATTGTGATGTGGCTACACAACTATATGTATCTGTCAAAACTAGAAGTGTACACCAAAAGAATGACTTTTATTTTTTTAAGTTTATTTTTAATTGAAGGATAGTTGTTTTATAGTGTCGTGTTGGTTTCTGCTACACAACAGCATGAATCAGCTATAAGTATACATAGAGCCCCTCCCAGTTGAGCCTCCTCCCACCCTCCCATCCCACCCCTCTAGATCATCACAGAGCCCTGACTGAAGTAAGCTCCCTGAGCTTCCCACTAGCTATCCATTTTGCAGACGGTAGTGTATATATGTCCATGCTACTCTTTCGGTTTGTCCTACTCACCTTCCCCTGCTATGTCCATAAGTCCATTCTTTATGTCTGCGTCTCCATTCCTGCCCTGCAAATACGTTCATTTTTCTAGATTCCATATATATGCATTAATATATGATGCTTGCTTTTTTATTTACTTAAATTAATTGGAGCATAATTACTTTACAATACTGTTATGGCCTCTGCAATACATCAACATGAATTGGCCATAGGCAAACATGCCCCTTCCCTCCTAAGCTCCCCCTCCCCCTTCCCTCCCCACTCCATCCCTCAAGGTTACCATTGAGCACCAGCTTTTGGTTTCCTGTATCATGTATCAAACTCCCACTGGCTATCTATTTTACATATGCTAATATATATTTTTCAATGCTATTCTATCAAATCATCACACCCTCTCCTTCTCCTACTGTGTCCAAAAGTCTGTTCTTTATGTCAGTGTCTCCTTCGCTGCCCTGCACATAGGCTCATCAGTACTATCTTTCTAGATTTCATACATGTGCATTAATATATGATATTAATCTTTCTCTTTCTGACAGTTCACTCTGTGTAACAGGCTCTAGAGGTTCATCCACTTTACTTCTACTGACTCAGATTCATTCCTTTTCATGACTGAGTAATATTTCACTGTATATATGTACTGCAACTTCTTTATCCATTCAATAACATCTAGGTTGATGAACATCTAGGTTGCTTCCATATCCTGGCTAATCTAAATAATGCTGGAGTGAGCATTGGGGTGCATGTGTCTTTTTGTGATTTTCTCAGGGTATATGCCCAGTAGTGGGATTGCTGGGTGGAATCTTATCTTCTGAATGTCAACTAAAGATCAACATTCATAAATTAGCTACAGAAAAATATGATTTTTTGAAATACCAAATAAAATGAATATTTTTGAAAAAGAAAGAATGAATTTTACTGAATGTCAGTCATATTTTTTAAAAATTTCTGCTGACTTTCTTTAACCACTACATTTCTCTCACTTCACGTGCATCTTTCACAATGATGGCGGGGAGGGGCTCAGTTTAAATGCTAGACAGGGGAAAGAATACAGGATTGGCTTATTTAAATGCTATACAATGACATTTGGATTTGGACTCCATATAAAAATCTCAACCTTCGAGCTTTCTGGCTGTACCTTAAAGCACAACCCTCTTAGAAACTCAATATGTTATGACTTCCATAATTTTTTTCATTGTTGGAAAAGTGAGATGAATATCTCCCCTTATATCTCTACACTGAATCTCCTATTTGCCCCCTTTGGATCTTCTAAAAGTCCCCTCTTTTTCTTCTATTTCCTTACTTCTTGCTCCCAACATCCTCCCTTGCCTCATGTTCCACTTTTCTTTCTTGCATATTTACTTCTCTTCTACTTCTTTTGGTAAGGGAATAAAATTTGCCACCTCAGGAATGTCTCCTTGGGATGTAGATTATTCTGGGCTGAAAACCATCAAAGCCCATAGAAAACTCAAGAAGAAAATTTGGTCCTCCGCCTAACTGCCTAAAAGAATTTAGGTAGCATCTGTCCCCAGAATACAGCTGCCACCAGAAATATCTGCAAAGAATAGGGGTTGAGTTTGTGAGGGACATTGAGCAGGGCCTGGAGATCAGAGTTCACTAGTTCACTGTGTCCCTAAAGATCACTATCTCTGCACAGCACTGCAAACCTTTACTCACCAAACATTTGGTTTTCCATTTCAATCTCAGTTACCTCCCTTCCCTTTGAAGTCCCAAACTACTACCCCTAACATCTTTCATGTTTAGCTGGAGATGGCATTTAAGGTGAAGTTTCTAGCCATTTTGGCCAGTTACTCAGTTTTCCTGGGTCTGTCCCACGTAAACATGTTATTCAACTTTTGTTTGATTTTCCCTTGCTACCTGTCTCATGTTAATTTAATTAAGAAGAGCAGAGGAAATTTTCTTCCTCCCTGACACTCTCCTAAGGTGCATTCTCTTTCTGTCTCCCTCTAAATTCATAAGCCTCATATTATTCTCAACACAAAAACCTTCAAATTGCTAGCTTAAAAGTGATAATAGGAATTATCTTACAGAAGAACAGAGAAATGAACCATATTACTGGTCTACTGGTTTTAACTTTTAGTTTCATGTCCTAGAAAACTTAGTTAACTTACAGGGACAGTTTAAATTTTCAAAAAAATAGATATCACCTTTGCACTGCTCAAGTAGTTTCACCTACGTGGCTTGCCATTAACACTTGGCAAGAACTTTTGTTTTCATTAAGCATGAATCCTGTGTTTCAGGAACTTAAATATCCCATTGTCCCAGATAAAAGGTAAAGTTCAGGGAGAGGGGAGAATGGAAGAAGAAAGAAGGAAATGCATATTTTTATCAGAAAATAGAAGCTCAGTAAAAGCTATAAAAAGTATTCTTTCTACTGGACTGAAGAACAAACATGCATAAGCTATGTTCTTTCTCTTTATCATCAAATTTACTATAAACTAAAAATGCTAAAGAATTTGCTGGTGGATAGGTTTAGGTCCAATTCCTACTTTCAAACTCTACATCTGCTTTTAAGCTACCAAAGATTGAAATTTTTAAAAATAGAAATAAATAAATTACAAAGGATCTATACACCAGCAGTCCCAGTTTTTGCAGGTAACTTTTTAAAAATCAATAATTATTCATGATTTTATCAAACAAAGTCTCTTTAAAGAACAATAAGAAATTAATTCTCAGCTCCCAAGTTGCACTAGTAGTAAGGAACCTGCCTGCCAATGCAGGAGACATTAGAGACATGGGTTTGATCCCTGAGTCCAGAAGATCCCCTGGAGGAGGACATGGCAACCCACTCTAGTATTCTTGCCTTTAGAATCCCATGAACAGCAGAGCCTGGTGTCCTCCTCCAGGGGATTTTCCAGGCAAGAATACTGGAGTGGGTTGCCATTTCCTTCTCCAGGGAATCTTCCCAACCCAGGGATCAAACTTAGGTTTCCCACATTGCAGGCAGTCTCTATACTATCTGAGTCACCAGGAAATCCCTTAATTTGACTAAAATGGTTTTGTTTAAGAGATGCTCATGTCATTTTTATGATCGCTTCTGAAAATTTCTGGTAAGACACATTATGTAAACTACTTTGGTAATGTATTCTAAATTGGATGATATAAAGCTTAGCTGAAGACGTGCTATAATCAAAAGTCCAGAGAATGAAAAAAGAGAGAGAACACAGAAGTACACCAGAGCCCACGAGACAGAGAGAGACATAAAGCAAGAGAGAGACAGTGCATGCTTACTCAGTCACTTCAGTCGTGTCTGACTTTGTGACCCCATGGTCTATAGACCGTCAGTCTCCACTGTCCGTGGGATTCTCCAGGCAAGAATACTGGGGTGGGATGCCATGCCCTCCTCCAGGGGATCTTCCCACCCAGTGATCAAACCTGCATCTCCTGAATTGCAGGCAGATTCTTTACCCACTGAACAACTTGGGAATGCTGGAGAAAGCCAGAGGAAGAGACAAAGGGAAAGTCCTTTGAACACATAAAGAAGCCTCAACAGATTTCATCTGAAACACTTAATGATATCACTGAAAATCACATTTACCCTTAATTCCAAAAGAAAATTTTTCAGGACAGTTTTGTGCCCAAGAGTAAGAAAATATACTTTTATACTTGTTTAGATTTTTTTTTAACACAAAATTGTGACTTTTACTCATATTTCTTCCAGAAAATGTGACAACTCATTCAAAGCCCTGATCAAAAGTCACTTCACAAGTAAAGCCATCATCAATTCCTTAGGTTTCATTAAATACCTCGTAGTACAAATCACATCAAATTGTAGTAACTCATTTGTCTGTCCCTGAGATGATGAAGCCCTAAAGTCAGGGTCTAAATAAAATTTGTCTTTGTAGCTCTGTGTCTAACAAATAACAGATCCCAAATATATTATTATTAGTTTCAAACAGACTACAGAATAGGTGTCATGGTTAATTTTTTTTAACATATACATGTGTTCATTCTTTTTCAAATTCTTTTCCCACTTAGGTTGTTATATAATATTGAGCAGAGTTCCCTGTGCTATATAAGAGGTATGGGTAACTTTTATTAGTATATGTATTACAAAATTGTTGGTGTCTGTTTGCCATCACCTCTGGAATATGATCATCTATTATTTAACAATATAATGTGAGTTGCCAGAATGCAAGTAGCCAGCAACCTGGAGAAAATACAAAGACTAATTAAAAACAAAACCCAAAGACCATTTTTCTCTTAACCTCCTATAACATAATTCACTGTGCAGTAATATTTAAATAACATATCCAGAAGCAGAATAACTAATATAACAATTACACACTTTCCCTCTCACCCACCTCTAGAACCTCAAAACATCTCTCCTTCTATGGAGGTTAACTGTGAAGTACTGATACTTCTGAAGCACAATTTCTCCTCTGCTGTAGTAGTCAGTAGTATAAGAATTCCCTTCCCCAACTCCTGTTTTGTCAAAGTGTATCAATTTTACCTTACCAGATCTCCACACCTTCCTGTCCTCTCTACAGGTAGGGTCTGTCTCTAAGATTTTTAAAGACGTCTCTGTCATTTTGGTGGTGCTTTTTCTCAGCAGTTTCAAAGCAGGAAACGTGAATTGAAAGGAAATTCTGCTAACATTTGAGTTAAACCAGTCCACCACCCTCCCAGTTCAGACTCCACCTCTCATTGCAAAACAGCATGCTGATAAAAGTGAGACTGAAAAAGCTGGCTTAAAACTCAACATTCAAAAATCTAAGATTATGGTATCCAGTCACATTACTTCATGGCAAATAGATGGGGAAACAATGGAAATGGTGGCAGACTTTATTTTCTTGAGCTCCAAAATCATTGCAGATAGTGACTGCAGCCATGAAATTCAAAGACGCTTGCTCCTTGGAAGAAAAGCTATGACCAACCTAGACAGCATATTAAAAAGCAGAGACATTACTTTGCCAACAAAGGTCCATTTGGTCAAAGCTGTGGTTTTTCCAGTAGTCATATATGGATGTGAGAGTTGGACTATAAAGAAAGCTAAGTGCCAAAGAATTGATGCTTTTGAACTGCAGTGTTCAATAAGACTCTTGAGAGTACCTTGGACGGCAAGATCAAACCAGTCAATACTAAAGGAAATCAGTCCTGAACATTCATTGGAAGGACTGTTGCTGAAGCTACAATGCTGTGGCCACCTGATGTGAAGAACTTAAACTCATTGGAAAGGACCCTGATGATGGATGGGTGTTTTCAGAAGGCAAAAGGAGAAAGGGGTGCCAGAGGATAAGATGGTCAGATAGTATCACTGACTCAATGAACATGAATCTGAGCAAACTCTGGAAGATAATGGAGGACAGAGGAGCCTGGTGTGCTATAGTCCTCGAGGTTACAAAGAGTTGGACATGACTTAGCCACTGAACAACATTGTGTCACTATGTCACTGGGTGCAGACCTTCCAAAAATATACATGTTGTTGTTCAGTCACTCAGTCATGCCAACTCTTTGAGACCTCATGGACTGCAACACGCCAGGCTTCCCTGTCCTTCACCATCTCCTGGAGCTGGTGAAGGCATCACCTGCTCCTGATGGCATCAGTGATGCCATCCAACCATCTCATCCTCTGTCATCCCCTTCTTCTCCTGCCTTCAATCTTTCCCAGCATCAAGGTCTTTTCCAATGACTCAACTCTTCACATTAGGTGGCCATGTTTAGAGTCATCTCTTGTGCTGTTGGAAATGAACATGAGGCAGGAGCTAAACGGACTCCAGGCTCTACAGCTGGACTTTGTCCCCTGTGGACAGATACCCCAAGACAAAGAGGAGGAGGAGCTAAGCCCTGCCCAGATATGAGATAGTACTTTTCTCATGCTCAAGGTCCAGAGGACCTTTCCAAGAATACACCCATAGCAAGTCTCTTTGTAGATCAAAAAGGGAGTAATGTCAACCTGCCCACAGCCCTCTTCACTAGAACCCAACTTGGCTAAGAAATGTGGGTACACACATGGGCGGACACTGATATATACCAAACAAGGACTCAGAATCAGCCAAAGCAAGATGTTTGGCCAAAGGCAACCCATAAGAAAATCTCATAAAAGTGATTCAAAGGACCATAAGGACCTGACACTCTGTGCTTGCCAGTGTGTGCCTATTCACATGTACTCTTTTCCCTCCTAATAAATGTTTCACTTGTTTCACTAGTTTTGGTTTCTCTGTGGAAATTCATTTTCTGGAAATGAATCCTAATGGCCAAGATTCAGCACTCGGCCTGACTTCAATCTCTGGCCAGAAACCAAAGTCCTGTTTCAAGTCCCTGCAGGTTGAGGCCACCCAAGCTCAGACATGTCTTCACAAAAACCTTTGTCTTTCTCTGTTCATGAAAAACAAGGAAAAAAAAAAAACAAACAAGGAGATCTTAGAGGCAGCACAGCCTCAAGATAAAAGAAACCTATGTCCCTGAATTTCCATGTGGAAGAAAGCTGTGTTCTAATTAGAAACACCTATATTTCACAGCTACATGAGTGATAAGTAAATATACACTGTGCTATCAACGAAATTTAGGTTATATATTGTAGCAGCTGTGTAACGTATCTAGTCAGAGTGGCAGCCTCATTTTTTCCATATTTTTTGCATCACTAATCACTTCTTATCCAGTCACCAAATATCTGCAGACTGTTTACTACTATGGCAGGTGCTGAGAAACAAAAGCTCTGCAAATTCTGATGAAGAGGATGAAGCAGGCACCTGGGCCTTGTGTGGGAGAGGTCTGGATGGATTTTCCAGAATGGGTGAGGCAAGGTTAGTGTCTTCTCTGGTGTCTAGTCAAGAGAGGGACATTTTAAAAGATTACAGTTTATAGTACCACCAAAAACCTGACAGAGCTAAAAGCAATGACAAATTTAAATTACAATAGCGTGAACATTATAATGAAGTGCTCAGCATACAAAAATGGAGCTGGAAGGCGAGGGCCCGATTTCAGAATTCAAGAACTAGAACTTCTTTGTAAATTTGTATTGTACCACACAAAAGGACAGAGCAACACCTGCCGATTCCTGTGGTCTCAAGGTACCCCGAGAAATCTTGTTGTCTCCCTCAAGATCTCCCTCCCTCCCTTTCTGGTGTTCATGCTGCAAGCCCTTGCTTAACACACTTCACTTCTCATCAACTGAAGTTTTAATGCTTGAGTAACAAGTTCTGTAACGAACCCATGGCTTCTTGCATTTAAAAGAATAAATAAATAAACTTCCTCCTTTTCTTTTAATGTGTCAGTCACAACTCAGAGCTTCCTGCATCTGTGTCTCCAAGCTGGGGCTCTAACAATCCAGCCAAAACTGCGTCTTCTTCTCAACCAGGTCTTTGTTTCTGAAATTTCAGTTAATAAAGGCAATACATTAGGAAAATGGTGATACACTTAACCTGCATGACACCAGGAAGGGAACATTTTTTTTTTTTAAAACACTCTTATTCTGCCAGAGGGAGCTTAAGGCTCTTCAGACAAAGCTGAAAGACAAGTCTCCCCAAGAACACTGGGACCTTTGTGTTTCTGGAAAGGAGGGGAATTCAGGCCAGTTCCAAAGGCATCTCAACTTTTCATTAAGATACAATCCTGGGAGTGAGGCAGACGGAGACATAAAAAGGGGAAAGACCCTGAATCAAGTCACTAAGAACGCCTGCCGCCTTCTCTCAGCCTTTCAAAGCCCTTAATCCCTAGACCACAGAACTTACCCTAAGGAATCTCCCAGTCACCCACTAAAGTTTTGCAAACTCCTATGAAGAGGGCGGCTTAGGCACACAGCCATCTGGGGAGAAATCAAGTCAAATTTTTTCAAATCACCCAACCAGGCCAGATGTTCACCCCCTATTGAAACAGCCCTGGAGAATTTGCAACCTGCTTGAGACCAAGAAGGCAGTTTCTTCTTTCTCTTCTCCTCTCGGTAGCGGTTCCTCTTTCACTATGACTTTGCTCTGGAGCAGAGATGGCCAAACGGGGATGCGGTGTCTAAGGGCTGCAACTGCTGCCCTCTCCCGGCGCCTCCAGCTTTCCTGTGGGGCGACCACATCCCTCTCCATACGCGGCTGTCTCCCACATCCAGGTCTCAACCGTCTGCTACGGTCTAAGCGAGACCCCGGATGCAGGGTTTGGAAAATTAGGCCCACAGAGCAGATGGTAGTAGATAACCCTCCCTCCCCACCACCCTCCGCCTTCCGCATTCACCCTATTGTTACGGCCCGCTTTCTGTGTTTCTCAGGATGTTGAGGCAGAAAAGGAAGTCAGAAAGCTTGTAAACAGGATGCCTGCCGTTGAAGGGCCTTTGGGTCCTTTCCAACCTGCCAAACGCCTGATGGGGACCTGGTGGACTAACAGTGGATCTAAGAGGACAGCCCTCTGCTCAGACTGTCTTCCCACTGGGTCCCTTCCTAGCAGAATAGGAGAAAGTCTGTATAAATTTCCATAGCTTGAGAGTCTCCCTGGCCTAGCAGAGATGGGGATAAGGTGCTGTCTCTTTGAGGTTCAACCTGTGGTAACCAAGACCTCTGAGAATAGAAACCCCCACCCACACACACAAACCTACTCTAAAAGGCTAGTTTGTGGCTTGTTAGCACCACTGTTCTCAGAAGATCATACACAGATCAAAACCCCAGGCTATTATGTTCTGAGGCTACAAAATGAGGAAAGGTTATAAAGGTCAAAAACTACAAGGTTATACAAATTGTCAGAAATTAGGATTAGAGTTGGGAAGAAATAAGAATGCTTGTTTAAACAGGAGTTGTTTGGGGTTCAAAATGGTTACACAGTTGCAGGTGTAGAAGGGAGGCACTTTGAAACTATGTTTGCACCTGGCACTGCCTGCAGATACTATTTTGAAAATGTCTGGTGATGGTCTTGAGTTTGATATAATTCAGAAAGTTTAAGTACTCAGTGATGCATATGCAAGTTCTCAGATGCAAGAATGCATCTGAAACTACCTCCACCTAAGGCCATCTGGCTCCATTTTGTATGTGTGAACCAGAGTTACTCCATTTTTATTTTTGAAAGATCTTAAATACATCATCAGGCTTCCCTGGTGGCTCTGTGATGAAGAACCTGCCTGACAATGCAGGAGAGGCAGGTTCAATCCCCGGTCCAGGAAGATGCCTTGGTGAAGAAAATGGCAGCCCAGCCCAGTATTCTTGCTGGGGAAATCCCATGGACAGAGGAGCCTGGTAGGCTACAGCCCATGGGGTCGCAAAAGAGTTGGATAGGAGTTAGTGACTAAACAGCAACACCTGTCTACATTACCCTTTTCTGGACTTTCGTGAGGTGATAAGATTTCAACCCTGAGGATCTGCTACAGTGAGATTGGTCCAGTTGGAACAGAGTTTACAAACATTCTTAAAACGAGGCAGTAATGGCAGAAATCCGTCTTTGATGAACATTTTTTTTTTCCTGGTGAATTATTTTGATCCTTGAAATGATTTAGAAGTTTCACCAAGTGGTGACAATAAAAAGCAGATGACTCTTTAGAAGACAGTTTGTCAGTTTCTTATGAAATTAATATACTTGCCAGATGATCCAACAGTCTCACTTTTTGGCATTTACAGA